ATTAATATTAGTAATATTTAATTTTGTTAATATTTATTTATAATTAACAGTAATAAATAATAATTAATATTAATCACGRTTATAATTAAAAAAAACAACAAATTTTCAAACTCTTACTTCAAGTAACGAAGCTAGTTTGTATACATCCAAACATGTACCCAAAAAATAACATAACTTATAAACTAGCTTAGTTTTGCAAAACAATACCTAAATCTGTTATCATCTTGGATGGATTAACAATATACAAACATGGAAAAATCTATTAACAAGATAATATATGATAATAGACACCAAGGAGATGGTGCCTAGCAGTTGCTGCTAGATGAATGGAGTTGTTTTACCAGTCAATCCTATAATTTCAAAAATATCACCACCCATTAAGTTTTACACCATACATGTGAATCGTGATTGTGCCATCAAAACAAGAAATAAACAACCATAACACACACACACACACATATACATATATATATATATATATATGTGTGTGTGTATATATATATATATATATCTATTTCCTTCCCTTCCCCCTTTTACCACCATTTTTCCCTAACTTTTTCCCTTTCTTTGGGTTATTCTTCATCAAAGCAGCTTTGGTTGCTTTCGTTTGCCTTTCTTTCCGAACTTGGTCAAGATTTTTAACTTCTGAACGCACATGAGCATTAGGAACTGACCGACTCTTGTTCCCACCTCTAAACCCTCCTCTCTTATGCATTCCACGCCCTCCTGCTAAAACAACATAATCATCATCATCATTCACATATAACACCCCGAAATTTATAAAACAAAGCAAGAAGAAAGGCATTAAATAACAACCTATTAAACTACACAATTCTATCTCTAGATTAAAGTCGGGTATTTCTATTGACTCCAACAACATGGCGAGTAGTTCAATAATTCAATGCTCCAAAACACCAAAAGCCTTAGTTACACAAGAATCTCCATTTACGAGACCACGCTCCCCTCAACCCATATTAGTCCCGCCGCTAAAAGAACTTGACAACACGTCATTTCAAAAGAGAGTGTTAGGCTTACGCCTAGTGAGTTCAATCAATAAAATAATGACAACTATAAAACCTTTATACATGTATAAATGTAAATATATACGGATGACGTAAATTCAAACGATGTGAGAAAGCAATTAATTCCAAACTATCACGCGGAGGAGCCAAAACATCCGAGGATGACAGGGGAGACCCGATTTACCGTTAGACATGACGGAACACAAAGTAAGTCATGGATTAACGTTATAGAGCATCACTTATAGGTTTAAAAACCATCGACATCAACCTAAACCAGTCATGTAGTCGTTCGTGATCATAAGCTCTTTACCTCGGTAATTACATAATAATCACAATGCCTATTACCGAGAAGTGAGAGGATGATTTGGAGGTTACATAATAATCACAATGCCTACCGCCAACTTATACCATCCCTCACGCAAAATACAATAATACAACTTTCGAAATACATAGATTCACCACGTTCTGATCATAACTTGGATAATTAACGTCAAGCATATATATATATAGCATTGTTTCGATATCAAGACTATGAGTGAGTCCACCATTAGGGAATTATTCCCCTACTACCATTAGTGATCATCATATATATATATATATATATATATATATAACTTATGAGTACTAGGGTCCTCTAGTATAAAATGCCTTAAGTTAAACATCTTACCAAGCGGTCGTAACCACTTTTCCAAAACTCAATCCCATTTAGATCTAGAATAACCTTTTCCGTCTCAACTGGTATATTACTAGAATTAACTATAGGCTAATTAACTTATTCACATCATCATGCATTTAAATTTCACAACGGGATAGAATGAACTCACATAGGAAGATCTAATCGAAGATCTTAAAATCTGGAACTAAAACAGCTGCCGGTAGGTAGTCGAAGCAATGGGGTCGCATTTCTACTCCATGAGACAGCAGTAGCGGTAGCAGCAGAGTTGGGCAGAACGGAGTGAGCAGCACCGTCGCGCTGCAGGTAGTTGTTCGGACAAAAAAAACATGAAGAAAACGGCACCGTGCAGGGGCTGTTTGCGGTTTGCTGACAGGTGAAGCGCAACAGATATGCTGCCTGCTGTTTGGGACGTACGCGAAAAACGCAGCAAGTTTGCTGCTTGTTGCTGTTTGGCTGCTCGGTAAGGACACAACAGCCCCTTGCTGTTGCTGTTTGCTGCTCGCGAAGACCTGCAGCTCCTCCTTGCTGCGGCTGCCCGACGAAAACACTGAAGAGAAACAGCACACAGCACCTGCTGTGTTGCTGTTGCTGTTTGGCGAGGGAAAAAGAAACAGCACAGCCGAGCTGCTGTTCGCTGTCGTTGCTTGGCGAAACACGGCGGCAGCAGGTGCAGGGTACGGCACAGCAGCCTCGACGCAGCTGTTGGTGGTGTGGTCTAAAATGCAGCACAGTAGCTCGATACAGGTAGCTGTTTTCGCTGTCCGAGGAGCGACCGAAGAGCACAGGCAGCCACCTGCTGCTGTTGACAGTCCAAGAAGCGGCAGAAGAGCGCAGACAGCTCTTGTAGCTACTGTTGGTGGTCCGGGACGCGACTGAAGGGCGCAGGCAGCCCTTGCAGCTGCTGTTGCTCGAAAGATACACGGCAGCGACTGCTGCTACTGTTGCTGTTCGGGAAAAAGACGGACAAACAGCCCCTCATTACCAATAGATTTGGATGTCTAATTTTCCCAAGCAAAATTACTTCTATTTCAAATTCTCTTTGATTCTTAGCGATCTTTTCCCTCAATCTTTTACTGCAACTTGATCACCATCTTCCAAAGTTGTCTTATAAACAGTTCCATAAGTGCTTTTCCCCATGATCTCAGCTGTTGTACACAAAAGATCATCAGCAGTGAAACCCATTGTACCTTCAAAGTGTACAAGCTTCCCTCCTGTCTCTCCAGCCACCTCCGCCTGAGGTGCTGTCGCGGCTACCACCTTCGGCATCCTTCTGTTAAGCTCCCTTCCTTTTCTTGAACAAGTGACAAAGAAGTATGCAGCAAATCAGCAGAAGAATGGCTATCAGAGCACCTGCAGCTATGAGAGTGATTTCTTTGGTGCTTAGTTTGTTTCCGCCATCACGGTGGTTCGATGACGGCTGTCTTGCTGCTGTTGCTGTCGAGAGAAGGAAGAGGGCAGCGACTTCCTCGGTTCTTCTTTTTGTTTTGTCGCCCCAAACAGAAGGTAAGAGTGCTGCTTTGTTTTCTGTTGTTTCCCTGTCTAACAGTAGCTTGCTGCCTCTTCGTGGACCAGAGTGGAGTTGATCCCTCCCCTTCCTTTCTTCTCCCTTTCTTTGTCCTCCGATCCCCCTCTCTCACGGTGAAGCCCTCTCCTAAAAACACCCTTCCCCATGGATTTTTTTCCCTTTACATGGAGGATAAGGACTCAAATGGAAAGAGGTAATTCCTAAGGTAAGGACTATGATACAAGGGTAGGTTAGAAAGTAGCTGACAACCCCCCCCCCCCCTTCCTTCTTTTCTCCTAAAAGAGAATTATTTAAACAATAATATATATAAATACATATATTATTATACACTACACACACTTAAACCTTACAAAGGAAGAAAAGAAAAGAAAGAAAGAAGAAGAAAAAGTACGGGTGTTACAATTCACACTCAAATTATATATTCGTAAATACAAATAACAAAAACATTGATACCTTTGAGACTTGTAGATTCCACAGCACTGCCTTCATTGTTTGTTCCTTGGAAAGATACCTTACTGTGTGATTTTTCTTTCCATCTTTTATATATTCCAGTTTTATTGGCCTTCCCTTTTGAACCACTCTCTGTTATTATCTGTATACCATTGCAAGTAAGTTATCTTTAGAAGCAAATCAGGTATTATTAACAAACATAATATACACACGTATATATACGAGTGTCAAAATGTACCTTCCCACTAGCTGTTACACGGTCACCGTTGTTCAACTTGACATACTTTTTACTCCTCTGCCATCAGATAAAATCAYTGTAGTTGAGTGACAGAAAGACAGAAGTAAAGAATTACATCAAATATCTTAACAATTGAAACCTTATCCCAATGATATGAAGACTTCTGTTTTTGTAATCCCCCACTATCATCTGCAGCTAGGTCAAGAACAGCATTCTCCAACCTATTCATCATTCAAATCAATGGTTCAAGACTTTAATAGTACAAGCACCTATTACATACAGATACAAGAGGCACCAAAGGTTTACKRTAAGCCCAATCTAATGTCACAAGCTTTTCCCAATACAAGACCTACARCATAACTTACAGTACAAGCATATAGAATAAAAAAAGGTGCATTTAAGATGTCGTAGGGGTAGAGACAACCCACCATCACATCAAAGTGGCATATAACCACCAACACTCTTGCAATCTCTCTTGTGAATTGTAAACACTTTTAGCATGTCAAGTAACTGTACCAAAGACCTTAACAGGCAAGATGATGAAACCATGTGATATGTGACACCATGACCACTTATTTAATGTTGCAGTTCGCAGTTTGAAGCAAAGTTGAGGTACATGGAACACATTAACTACATGAAAAATGTTCAGCATCCATTGATCTTTACCTGTTGGATGCAAAGCCTTGATTACTTCTGACTGAAAGGCCTGCTTCAAAATGCTGGAAAGAATGACATGAGAAGTAAGATATCAACACCATAACTCTTTGATAAAAATCAAATAATGAAATAGAGCAATCTGGTGCCAAGGAGAGTTGGAAATGAGAATGCATATTAGAATAATAGAATTGAAGCTACTTCAAGATGGTTAGACAGTAAATTCTTTAATATCTCTTGAACTGCTTGCAATCCATCCCCTAAGCGAAAGATGATGATGTTGCTGAAAATCAATATGACGTTTATTGCATAAAAGAATATAACCTACTTGATTTGTTGGAACTGAGCTTATGAAAAACTCCTCATCCTTGAAGCTCTGTGCCTTCCTTTTACTACCAGAAACTGCCAGAATTAATCAAAATTCTATATCAATTATGCCCTCTAGATGTAATACACAAACACACAAAAAAATATCAGGTGCCTTCACCAGCTTTACAAGTTGGTTCCTCATCATTAACCCATACTAAAATTCCTATTTCCTTGCTAAGCAAGWAYAACGAAGCTCTACACTTGCTTAGGAGAAATCAGAACATGGTATTGAAAAGGTTAGGCGATTTACTAACTAATTATTTACAAACTCTTGCTTATGTATCCTAGATCAGAGAAAGAATGAAACTGAAGARATCAGACATCAGCTATCATCAATCTCCATATGTTCCATATGAAAGGCAGGCATGAAAGACCTGCAAATGCACCACTTTCCAATCGAATTTCAAATCTCAACTTTTTTAAAGATCTTCAAAACTACCTCCAAGCTATGCCATCGTGTCTCCGTATTGTAATGCAATACTATAAAGTAGAAGTTAGGCCCAAGTACTTTTTAAGCATTAAGNTTCAAAACTACCTCCAAGCTATGCCATCGTGTCTCCGTATTGTAATGCAATACTATAAAGTAGAAGTTAGGCCCAAGTACTTTTTAAGCATTAAGAGTTYAATGATRAATGTTCTAATGATATTTGAAGCATAATCTAAATCTGAGTGTTGAACTTTTAAGATAGTGTCATATTCGGTTGAAACAACAATCTGAATATGTACTTCTTATCACCATCGCATTTCTAAATTTTCAAGCGCTATATTGTATTGATTGAACTGGATGAAAGATCATTCCTTCAAGATTTTCTCAGAATCAAAGAATCACATTCTTTGTCATGATGATAATCAATTTTATGTTAGTTGTTGATTATCATAGACAACATCCTGGGATCTCTTGTCTTATTCATACGATAAGCTACTTGAAGAACCAAGAATCTATAGGCCCCTGGAACTGGGTATCCATGGTTAACCCAATTACAGGTGCATACGGGTTGGGTAAATCTATCCATAGGAAGAGTTACCGAACTGGTATCGAGTACGCAATAATAGATTCTTTACCCATGCATACAGGTAGCCAGAGCTCTTTTTTGCTTTTTGATTTACATAAAATACCAAATGCTCTAGTTCCAATACTACATTTAAAATGTAAACTACAAAAAGCAAATATTGCACTCAACAAATACTTGAAAAGGAAAAACAAATGTCATATCTTAATGTAACTTGAAAGTTAAGGCACCTATGAAATTTATGTTGCATAATCTACAACTTCAAATTAAAANGACCACTTTTTGAACCGTCGCCTCTCTCTCTCATAGTTCCAATCACGGTTGAAACAACAATCTGAATATGTACTTCTTATCACCATCGCATTTCTAAATTTTCAAGCGCTATATTGTATTGATTGAACTGGATGAAAGATCATTCTTCAAGATTTTCTCAGAATCAAAGAATCACATCCTTTGTCATGATGATAATCAATTTTATGTTAGTTGTTGGTTATCATAGACAACATCCTGGGATCTCTTGTCTTATTCATACGATAAGCTACTTGAGGAAGCAAGAATCTATAGGTCCCTGGAACTGGGTATCCATGGTTAACCCAATTACAGGTACATACGGGTTGGGTAAATCTATCCATAGGAAGAGTTACCTAACTGGTATCGAGTATGCAATAATAGAGTCTTTACCCATGCATACAGGTAGCCAGAGCTCTTTTTTGCTTTTTGATTTACAAAAAATACCAAATGCTCTAGTTCCAATACTACATTTAAAATGTAAAATACAAAAAGCAAATATTGCACTCAACAAATACTTGAAAAGGAAAAACAAATGTCATATCTTAATGTAACTTGAAAGTTAAGGCACCTATGAAATTTATGTTGCATAATCTACAACTTTAAATTAAAAGTCTAATTATAACCGAAAGTACTCACCAACATTTTTGTTATCAACATCAACCATCTCATCTATATTTAAAGAAAAAGCCATTCTTCTATAAATGCTAACCGAGACAAAACAAGAAAATTTTAAGTTAAAATCTTTCAATATATACATACATAAGATCATACATGTATACATAGATACAAACACATTTACTAGCAAGTTAACTTTATCGAAAGTGGATGCATCACAATGAAGCAGCGAAATGATTTATGCATTCGCAAAATCACAAACCTTTCTTTCCCATGCCTGGTGATCTATTGCATTCAAGCTCATCTTCCTGCAAAAGAATAAAGCCATATCAGACATCAACTATTACAGAAAGAGACCAGGTACAAACTTGATCAAATCTAGAAAACCTTGAAGTTTAGGCTCAACGGCCAACACAGGGCTTAAATTAAAAATATATCAAAAAAGAACCTCCACTATATGCAAGAACATGCAAATCCGAAGGCACGTCATATAAAACGATCAGTAAAGCATCTATCATAAAAGCAAGGAATTTAATGAACCAAACCTGCAGATTGATTATGCTAAGCCTAAGGATAACTATAGGAGCCTCAATTCATGTCTCCTATTCATATGGATGATTATTCTTGCGGAAAAGCCACAAATTAACATAAAATATGTGTCTCAAACTGAAAGAGCTATAGAATTTGAAACTTCCAAAATATAAACAAAAAGTACATTGTCTCTTTTTTATTTTGTCATTTTATATGTATTAAAAGATATTCAAACACACTTGCTACTTCCTAGTTCCAGCAGTGGCAAGAAAAGGAAAAATCAAAATCTTCAAGCTTTGCTTTTCCATAAAAGGCTCCGTTTAGAGTGCTTCATCAATGTGAGATGAGATCAGCAATTTTCTGTAAAGTATACTGAAGCTTTAAACCCAACCTTAAACAATACCTAGGGAAAAAAACAAGTGGATACTTATATATTGATTGGTTGTAATCAACCAACTCCAAATAAAGTCAATTTATCCACTGAATCAGCAAAACTTGCTACTTTCTATTTTGAGGCTAAGATTCACAGAAGACCAAAATASACAAACATAGCTTATAGATAAACCTTCCAAGTGACCTCGTTTTCTCACTATCAGAATATGAGAATAAAAACATCCGATTTGTTCATGAGAAAGCAATGGYATATCTAGGTAAAAGGTTTTTTGTCAACTACTAAGCTACCGCCGATCTCAGTCTCATAAAATGATACACACCTTCCTTCAAATGAGAATAAAGACGCAATTTGCATCCTYAATCATTGGCTATCCTGGATGATACAGTGACATCTGAATCAGTAACCACTAACATGGTTKGTGTGGTTAAGGATGCATCCTGAGGTTAAGTAACTTTTGGGTAGCCACCCAACAGCCTAAATAAGTGTATTCACTAGATAATAAAGGCTGTTTTCCTTATGACCCATATATCAATATAGGACATCAAGTTATACCTGTGACTGAGACATGTGTAAATTTATCAATGTGTCCCTTATTCTGATAAAGCTGAGAGATAATGGGAATTACGTATCTCGCGAGAACTAAACATAAGTCGGCCMAAGCCTACAACTTCTACAGTTTGCAAGAAAAAGATACAGACCAATGTGCTTTCAGACATCAACAGTTCAGTATGAATGAACASCTACATTAGAATAAGCTATCCAACTGAAGGATGGTTTGCTAGATAGATGTACAATAGATCACTCTCTAAAAGAACATAACTATTACCCATGGAAGTCCTAGAGTATTCAGGATAAATCAACTCATTGTGAAGTCAAGATCCAGCCTAACGTTAAKATAATGGAATCAATATATTTGGAGAAGAAAAATGACAAGATATACATCCCATAGTAAAAATAAAAGAACATTCAGTATTTACAGAAAAAAAAACAATAGGAAAAAGACTAGGCACTTGCAATCAATCATTAGAACTATCCCATGATTAGCTGATAATCTCAATGCAAAGAAATCCATATGGTTTTCCTGACTTCACCTTTACTGAATGATTGCTAGAGAGCTGCTGGTTTACTTTATTTATGACCCCCTCATGAATAGCTCTTTTCATCTTCATTACATCAACCCATTGGCTAGAAGGTCCCTGAAAGTACTATGTGTTAAYACWAAGAGAATAAGTACAGAGAAAATAGGAGCGCATTGGTCTTTGAGCTTCTTTCTCATATTCGTATATTTCATATTTTATATTAATCAATAATTAGAGTGAAGATAGTGCTTAAAACTTCTTGAGATAAACCTTGTACTTATAAGTACAATATTCATGGTACARAAAGGGATAAAGATGGAAGACAAAGTTATAAGAATGCAGAAAATCAAAAACAGAGCAGAATAGCATGCCTCAACCAATACGATATGTACACACACATAGAGATGCAATTAAATGTATCTTTAACATTCTACATAACTCCTAGGTTGACAAACTTTCAATTAAACAGAYARCAAAARAATGCATGGCCAATTGAAGTACAAAATAATCCGAACATGATAATGAATGATGTCCTTCGCCAAGTTCTTTTGGTTAAAAAAGTAGATTGGTAGTTTTTACCGTATCACGAAGAAGATATTAAACCAATGCAGTAAGCTAACCAAAGTATGTCAAAACTACAAAAAAATACCCTTATATGGAAGAGTTYCAGTGCACCAATTATGCCCAAGTTGATAGTGCAATATGCATGTATGCCTTGTCGTATGTGCTACTTTATCTGTGACAAAGATGTAATGCAGCAGCCACTACTTAAAAGCACAAATATGTATAGCCAAGGATCAGGATATGAGCTAGATACGTTTAACAGTGTATAACTATTTTAGGCCTTGTTAACGAACCTTCAGCTAAAATATCGGGGTTTTAAAAGAATACACAATAGTGTATTAAGAGCCATAAATCAAAACAATAAACCAGAAGAAAGATTGTTTCTCCAAACAAAATGATCTCTAGCAAAGTTCAAAGAGAAGTTTTTTWTGGTCAAGAACTTATGATTTATCACATCCTGTCTTACTGACATATAACAACATCATCTACCAATCATTTTCACACAAGGAAAACATGTTTTTTCACAACGTTAACATTATTTATCTATCACATTCTACATAAAATTGTAAAATGGATCTACATATATATTCTATTTGGTACAAACATATTTGTACTAGGTATTATTGCTTACATATATTCAAAATTTACAATCAACTATATTATATGAGTATATAACTAGCATCGGATGAACAAAAATGAATCACGATTGACATTTTAAGTGCTCATCTTTAAATCAAGATGCACAATGCAACATCGCAATGGTAGCCACTGGCATCGGGATAGACAAAAATAAAGCATGATTGACTTTTTATGTTCTCGGCTTTAAATTAATATGCACACCGTAACATAATACGAATAAGGATATTGTAAATTGCTATTAAATATGTCATTCAAAAAAAGGTACTATTAAATAATAGTTACTAGTAGCTGCATTAATAATGACTATACTATTTATGTCAGCTATAATTATTTGAATTATTTTTTATTTTGGTATAAACAGTAATTTTAATTCATATTTTTAACGCCAAGTTTAATACTTTAACTATTTATTAGTTTTACCTTATGTAGCTATCCAATAATATTTTATATTTATTACTCGTTTACAAATTCCACTTATTAAGTTTATTTAAAACCAAAATAATTTATCCATACATAATTAATTATCCGTATTAAAGGTCTCAACTTTTTAAATAAGCTTGGTGCATGAAATTACTTTTACTAAAAAATAAATACAATTATAAGAGTTATATTACATTTTTTGTCTCTTCATAAACTTTGGATGTTGCCTTTATAATTTAAGGTTGTGGTTTTGATTTCATCCTTTGCCATGATCGTTATTGACTAGCTCACACAAGTTCCCTTTGTGAGAGGACAAGTTGGTTATTTACCAATTTATATAATTTTTATTGTACAAGTTTAAATTGCATGCGTATAAATATTTAAAACATTTGATAAATACCTTCTCGTTTTCACCATCTTCTTCAACATTCCTTTCAAGCTCCCTTTGCGTTCACCACCGAATCAACCAAATATCCACATCACAAAAAACACCTCAATTAAGGGGTCCGTTTACCAAATTCTTACCGGATAAGCATTTATCGATGATCATTAAGTTTACCAAGTACTAAAAATCTTACCCACCAAGAGGCATAGTAAAACCCCATAGTCTTACCATCCAAGTGATTGAGAAGACTTTTATCTAGTAAAACATGTTTACCAACAATTCATTTTGATAGCCGATAAATGTACCCAATAATGTAAGTGAATCGACCTAGTAATGGTTGATTTAAAGTCGACTTGTAATAATGGTTAATTGAGTTTGTAATCAAACTAATCAAGACTGAATTGGTCTTTCTTTATTCAATCCAGTTATGTGGTTTCATATACACTCTGACCTCTTAGTGTTGCAAGACCATAATCTTAGAGTCTGTTTAATTCACATAGGAGAATGAAAATGACAATGAGAATGAATACTGCATTTATGTTGTTTGGTTAATACTGGGAAATCATTATCATTATCATAAATGTTGTTTTAATGTTTAACATATATAATAGCTGAAATTTTGTTTTATAGCATTGTACTATCATTTTTATAACATTAACCAATCAATTTATCGTTTAAACATAACTTCAAAAAAACACAATACAAAGTATGTTTCATCCAACTTCAAAGATACAGTACATTTCGATGCTTCAACCAACTTTAAAAATACAATACAATTCAAATGTTTCATCCAACTTTAAAATACAATACCAAAAAGAGGCTTACATAGCCTACCAACTACAAAATCCATACCACAAGATTATGTTTAAGGTCCAATTTCATTGAATAGCAAGATACAAGAACCCAAGCACGTATGATCTTCTCATGTGAGTTGGCAACGTAAACAAGACCTTAATTTTGGTGGGTTCATCATAGCAAATTTCAAGAGTTTTACCAATATCACAAGTAGATATTCCAATACTAAGAAGTTTATTCATGACTTCTTGCATCTTCTCATCACTCAAAGAATCTAATTTGTTAGCATCGATGAAAACATTAGCAGTAGTAGCATATTGTGACATCATTTGATTTGACCACAAGTAGACTCAAACTTGGAATTAAAATGCATCTAGCCTCATATCAATGGTATTTTGAAGTGAAGGTAATTTCTTGTTCTGTAAATTTCCCTTTTAGGTGAAAGTTTCTTGTGCTTATTTGATGTGATAGTGGTTGATGAATTAGGAGATCCTTGTGCATCTACTTCTTGTTCACCTTCACTATCGGAAGAACACCAAATACATCTTGTTGTTATTAACATCCTCACATGTTTGTGATATATCCTCGATTTTTAGCTCCGTCTCTCTATCTCTACCCCATACCAAGTACAATTTTCGCAAATAAGAAAATTTAAAGTTCCATAAACCAGTTGCATTCTTATGAGTATACAAAAATAAAAACAAGATTATGAGAACAAGATTAATATAATTAAAAGAGTAGTAGTTTCATGACCTTACCTTGCACCACTCATCATACCATTGATTCTCACAATTAATTTTATGCTCAACATCATCCCATTGCCACCCACTTTGTATCAACATTTCAGAAGTAGATTATATTTGTTTTTAAGATATTTTATCCGAGAGTCAATATGAGGGATAACTTTCTTATCAAAAATTGGCAGCCTTTGGACCAACCTTTTATGCACTTCAACCATGTATCCAATTTTGAATTCACCATCTACCTTGCATAAACGGATCACAAGCAAGTTCTTGTAAAACGTTGACCACCGCTTCTCCTTCCTCATAATTCCAATATATTTTACTTTTCCCCATTTCTAAACAACATCATAAAACATATTGTCAAAAATACAACATAATAAAACATAATGCCAAATACGATAATAAAACATAATGTCAAATATTGCATAATAAAATATAATGTCAAATACAACATAATGTGAACATAAAAATCCAAAAACAAATACATTTATGACAAAATCTATCTACTTCTCTATGAATTAAACATATTGGTAGCCATAATATTTCTAAATACTAGCTACTCATCGGTTGGACTAATGTTTGTAATGTATTCAACTTCGTTACTTTCATCATCGCTATTTGTTTCTTCTTCTCCTTTTTCTTTAAGGACCGACTCATGGGGATCATGGCTCATAGACTTCCAAATCAAGTTGTGTGGGAGGCAACATGTCATTATAATTCGAACTTGGGTTTCAATTGAAGATGTTGGAGATGCAAGGATTTTCCATCTTACTTTCAACAATCCAAAACACCTCTCAACCACATTCCTTGCTTTTTGAGTGTTTCATATTGAAATACTCCTTAACAGTGTTTGGTCGATGGCCACTAAACTCTTTTAGGTTGATATCTTTGTCCCCGATGAGGTGCAAGAAAATCATTTGCAATACAATATCCTGAATCAACCAAATAATAAGAACCTTGAGGAACTCTTAAACCTTAAGACCTTGAAATTGCATCTCAAAGCACACAATCATCATGCGCAGAACCTTCCCAACAAAGCAAAACATATATGAATTGCATGTTAGTGCAACAAACACCTAAAACATTTGTTGAAATGCAACCTTTTCTTGTGCGATAACGAGACTTTTCATCACTAGGATGTATAACTTTAATTAAAGTCCAATCCAAAGCTCCTAAGCAGCCCTACAAAATAAGGTGTATATATACATCTCAATTTGGTGTTTAATTCATAACGCCGTTAACTTACAAATGTAACTACAAAACTAGTCATACCTGAAAACATTTCCATCTCTCATTTTGACAATCTTGTGTAATAGGCTCTGGTTTATTGAGTAAGATGTGGTGCAACCTCAAAATTTGCTAAAAGAGCTAGATGGAATTGCCGATTAATTGTTTATTTACTACGAATGAATTAATGACTTATTGTTCTATTCTTTTTGTAGTGAGCCAAGGTGTATAAAAACATTGCAACAACCTCTTCAATAGACGGTGTTTCTAGTTGGCTTTAAACATCCAACATCACTTACCATATCACATCGTACCCTAAAGGTTGCTCTATCCATACGAAGTTCACTAATACAAATGACATCACTTTCCATTGCCAACCTAAACATCCATTTCATCATATCCATTATTTTATAATCCTTTGTTTTGATTTCACGGATCTTATATCAAACCCAGGAACAAATAACAACATAGTAGTCAGTGAGTACAAAGAGCAACATGTTATTTGTTGACACAACAAAAGTTTTCTTAGTTTGCAATGCCTTTTGTTTACCGGGGATCGAGCCATTTCGATCTACAAAAGAAATTTTAAACGTCACATATAGAAAATAACAAAATACAAAAACAAAGTAAGCAAATTCTACATAAAAACATTCTGCATAAGAAAAAGAAATTCGGCATAAAAGCAATCACATACAATGAAAACAGAACAAAAAGAGAAACATATTCGTGTATCAGTTGTTCTTTATAAATGAGGAAGTTTGATGAATGCATAATGAACTTTTAAATCTGATCCATTGAAACATGGAAATTGTTTAGACACCAAACCTTCAAAGTAAAACATAGAGATGCTATCGTTCAAAATATGAATGTTCATTGGGGTTTTTTCCGTATTTGTTTTCACTATTTTACCACTTTAACTAGTTGTACAAGTCATAAGAACCAACATGTTTTATAAAAGTTCAAGAAGTTATTTAACATGTTTTGGATTGTTCAAGGACTTATTTGTTCCAAAAATTRTCCAAKRAGTTATTTAACATTTTTTGGAATGTCCAAAGACTTATTTGTTCCAAAAATTGTCCAATGACTTATTTAACATATTTTGGAATGTCCAATGACTTATTTGTTCCAAAAAATTGTCCAATAACTTATTTAACATGTTTTGGAATGTCTAAAAACTTATTTGTTACAAAAAAAAGTCCAAAAACTTAATCATTCCAAACAAGAAATTTTCCCTTGTTCTCGTCATCATTTTCTTGTGCTGGAATGACATGGGGGTGGGTTTTTCTTTTTATTTCGCTCATCCTTCCCCCCCATACCATTCAGATCCCATCTTTTTACCCTTTTCCTAATCTTAACCTCGCACCATCTACTGGTATGTTGCACCATCCTCTCGCCTTTCTTGTCCTCTCTCCACCATCACCAGAAAAGGTAAAACCCCTTCTTTTTTTATGTCTCGTACCACTTGATCTCTTTTCTTGTTGAGGACATATTTTATATGCTCTATAACTTGTATTCAATTTCATCAGTTTTCTTGTTACTATCTCGGCCCTTTTCCTTTGCAGGGCATCTTCTTTCATCTCTTGCTTCCTAAACTTAACTTGTAATTACAACATTCTCGGTATTCTTTTCATTAGATTTTACTTCAAAGTTCGTCTACTACCTGTTTGATGAGATGCTTAAGAGAACTTGTATGTTGTATATTTTCTTCTTGGTGTTTGCTACTGGTCTATTGTTGTTGTCCCAATACAGAGCAATGATGTATGTGGTTGGGATTATAAAGCTAAACTTTTTCAGATTAAGCAGCAGGTTGTAGTGCGTATGAATCACATCAAATGGAGTTAGTTCTACAATAGGGTTGAAGAAGTTTGGTTGCCACCTGCACATAGTTTGAAAAAATTGAAATAACTTCTACTTAAAAAAAAAAGATTTCTTTTAAAATAGGCATCCACAGAGTTTCACATACTGCTTGACTACCTAGATCAAATGTGGAAAGGGGATTATGAACATTACACTAACCATATAGAGGTTGTCCTAACACACACTATATCCCTATTTCTCACTATACTGGCCTATGAGAAACTTTGTAATAGTCAACCTATGATGATCAAGTGTTTTACAATATATGTTATATATACCAATTTTTTTTTTGACTCTTTTGTTGACATGTATTTTCTTCAATGGGGCATGAGTATGATCACACTTTATGAGCAAATGGGGTTGTTTTCTTTTGGGTTATAAGATTTGAAGCCTATTTTTGTCTATGTTATATAATTTCATTATAACTGAATCTTCAATTCAGCATTTGCTTATGCATCTCTCTCGAATGTGGATTCGGTCTTGTTGGTAGTCTACGTTCAAAAATTTTGAATTCTAGCTGCACATTGTAGGAAGCAATGAAATAGGACATCCTGGCAATTTGCTTTTGTACAACCCTTGTATTAGTTTGGCAAGTCAAAAGACTCCACAAGGTTGTAAAATTGGCTCTGGTATTTCTAAACAAATGAGATTGTAAATGAATTTGCTTTTGTACAACCCTTGTATTAGTTTGGCAAGTCAAAAGACTCCACAAGGTTGTAAAATTGGCTCTGGTATTTCTAAACAAATGAGATTGTAAATGATTGATTGCCTCTGAACATTACTCTTCACCAGGAATTGATTTGAGTCATTGAAATTGCCAGGGGAGCTACTTCTTTATTTGTATTCCTACATACACTCTAGGGAGAACAATACTAAAGGCCACATAGCATGGCTCTTGAGAGAATGATCTTTCAAACATCTTACTCCATGCAAAATGAAAATAAAATTATATATGTATGTGCTTATTGTATTTCTTTTTGTAATATATATTTGTAAAGTTATATATTTTCACGATAATTGTTTGATTCAATAAAATTGCCAAACAGTTAAATTTCATTTAGTACCAAATCGTATAGAAGGTTACAATGATAATTTTCTATCATTCAGACTAAACAGTCAATTTTCATTTCCAAACAGTCAATTTTCATTTTGGACTAAATCATATTGAGTCTCTTGATCATATTGCATCAAATCAGTCAGAGTCTGTCAAACAACACCCCAACAAAACAGATAATGGGAATGGTTTTCTCTTTAAGTTGAATGAAGAATTGAGCCTTATTGCCAATTAATATTATTAGCAGGTTGGATAGTCGTAGCCTGTCTTTGCTGAAACATTATCTCATAGATGATGTTAGGTGCAGCTTCACTTACCTCAGTCACCAATCATGCCTCAAATTATGTAAGTAGCCTCTCAAGCTTAATGCTTACAGATACTCAAAATATGTACTCAATCATCCTTGCATAATTTCCATTTTTGGTGTTTATGCAGATCATTATGTCAACGCCATCTCCCCTATCTCCCACCAAATTCGCATTGACATCTCACAAACCCACGAATCCTTCTAGCAAAAGAATACAATTGATTAAGACCCTAAAAAACCCCACTTTCGAACCCCTAAAGGATCGACTGATACGTTTATCTAGTGTGGGTCAGATTCAAGAAGCAATTTCAATCCTTGGTATCATGACCCAACAACACCAACTCACCCCTGACCTCACTGTCTTCTCCCTCCTGCTGAAATCTTGCATCCGAACCCGTAACTTTGAACTTGGGAAACTCGTTCACTTGAAACTCAACCAATCTGGAATAAAACTCGACTCAATTGTACTCAACTCGCTCATCACCTTGTATTCTAAATGTGGGGATTGGGTTACTGCAAAAACTATATTTGATTCCATGGGTGATGATAGGTTAAGGGATTTGGTTTCTTGGAGTGCCATGATATCCTGTTTCGCTCATAATGGAATGGAGTCACAAGCGTTGCTGACGTTTGTTGAGATGCTTAGGCATGGAGAACACCCTAATCAGTTTTGTTTCTCAGCCATGATTCAAGCGTGTTGTAACGGAGATAATGCTTGGATTGGAGAAGTGATTTTCGGGTTTGTGATCAAGACCGGGTACTTTGAGCTTGATGTGTGTGTTGGGTGTGCTTTGATTGATTTGTTCGCGAAGGGATTTCATGACTTGGTGTCTGCTAAGAAAGTGTTTGATAAAATGCCTGAGAGGAATTCGGTTACATGGACCTTGCTGATCACCAGATATGCGCAACTGGGACATCATGAAAATGGGATTCAACTTTTTTTGAGTATGCTGTTGTGTGGGTTTATGCCCGACCGGTTTACTCTGAGTAGTGTTGTGTCTGCGTGTGCTGAATTGGGATTTGTTTCAGTTGGTCAGCAATTGCATTCTTGGGTAATTAAGTTGGGTCTATGTTTGGATGTCTGTGTCGGGTGCAGTCTTGTGGACATGTATGCAAAGTGTGCAACTACCGAACCGATGGAGGATGCTAGAAAAGTTTTTGAGCGGATGCCTCATCATAATGTGATGTCTTGGACTGCGATCATTACAGGACATGTGCAAAGTGGAGGTCTAGATAAAATTGCCATCAAACTCTATTGCAAGATGATCACACAAGGTGACGTCTTGCCAAATCAATTCACTTATTCCAGCCTTCTAAAGGCATGTGCAAATCTTTCAAATCTGGAAGTCGGTAAACAAATTCATAATCATGTAATAAAATCAGGTCTCGGGTCTGTGAACTGCGTGGGCAATTCTCTTATTAGCATGTATGCCCGATCTGGTAGCATGGAAGACGCCCACATGGCTTTTGAAGTTCTACTCGATAAGAATTTGATCTCTTACAATGCTATTTTGGAGGGGTATGCCAAAAATGCAGATTCAGGCGATGCCTTTAAGATGTTTAATCAATTTGAGGAGACTGGGACCGGGGTCGATTCTTTCACGTTTGCCAGCCTTTTAAGTGCAGCAGCCAGTGTTGGTGCTGTTGGAAAAGGGGAGGAAATTCATGCTCGGTTAGTAAAGTCAGGGTTGGATTCAAATCAAAGGGTATGTAACGCCTTGATATCCATGTATTCCAGGTGTGGGGACATAGAAGCCGCTGCTCGAGCTTTTAGCAAAATGGAACAACGGAATGTAATATCCTGGACTTCAATTATTACCAGTTTTGCAAAACATGGTATGGCAACAAGAGCTTTGGAAAAGTTTGATCAAATGCTTAACGCTGGCATGAAACCAAATGAAGTCACATACATTGCTGTTCTATCAGCTTGTAGTCACGTTGGAATGGTAAGTGAGGGTTTAAAACACTTCAATTTGATGTACCATGAGCACAACATAAGCCCAAAGATGGAACATTATGCATGTGTAGTGGACTTATTAGGAAGGTCAGGCTCTCTTGAAAGGGCTCTAGACGTGATCAAGTCTATGCCTTTCAAGGTTGATGCTCTTGTATGGCGCACATTACTTGGAGCCTGCCAAGTCCATGGCAATAGAGAGTTGGGAAAGTTAGCTGCAAAAATGATTACTGAGCAGGATCCAGATGATCCAACTGCCTATATACTTTTATCAAATCTGTATGCTTCAAAGGGCCAATGGGAAGAAGTGGTGAACATTCGCAAGACCATGAAAGAAAGAAAGTTGGTGAAGGAAGCAGGTTGCAGCTGGGTAGAAGCTGAAAACAGAACACACAAGTTCTATGTAGGGGATACATGTCATCCGCGCACCAATGAAATATACAAAGAGCTAGATGAGTTGGTTAGGGACATCAAGAAGCTGGGGTATGTTCCTGATACAGATTTCGTTCTGCATGATCTGGAGGAGAAAGAAAAAGAAGGATATTTGGTTCAGCATAGTGAGAAGATTGCGGTAGCGTTTGGGCTGATAAGCATGTCAAAAACGAAACCCATAAGGGTGTTCAAAAATCTGAGGGTCTGTGGAGACTGTCATACTGCAATGAAATATGTATCAGTGGCAAGGGGAAGAGAAATTGTGGTCAGAGATTCAAACAGATTTCATCACTTTAAGAATGGCTCCTGTTCATGCAACGATTATTGGTGATTGAAGTTTGGAAAATAGTTTCAATCTTAAAATAAAATACTTTTTATTTATTTATTTTTTGTATAAATCATTTAATATAGTTTTGACTATTACTATAAGTTTGTCTTTGAGTATTTCAATAGCCCCTTGGTCATGTGCTTGACTTTGACTTTGACTTCAATCCAAAACCAACAAAGCCTTTAAATTATACAATACGTTTCTAATATATTTTTCACAACAAGGTGCAAAATTTTTAAAGGTATACACGTCAACTTTGATATCTACACAACTTGTAGATGATTTTTATGTTGTTAGCTATGATATTCTTAATACATCTCGGTCCTTTTAATTAAGATAATAGTGTGTTTTTTTAGATTAATTAAATCGACTAGTATTATTATTGGTTGTTAAGTCAAATATTTTTGACTTTTTTATTAAAAAGTTAATAACAATTATACTGTAATTTCTAAGATTGATATTTATTTATAAAAAAAATTAAAATCCGTTTTTGATTCTTTTAGTTTCTATTTGTATATTTAAAGTTGAAGGCTTGAAGCTAAATAATAAGCGGTAACATTTCTTTTGTTGGTTGTTTACGTTGAAGACGTCAGACTCCTAGTCCACACATACACACGTGGCAAGCGACACGTCAGGTTATAGATACGTAAATCCTGTTTCTCCTCTCTTCTTCTTGTTGTTCGTCGGGGGTGTAGTGTGTACACAACTTTTGACTTCCCTCTCATCTCACTCTTTATAATTTTCTTTTTTCTTTTTTTATACTTGAATTGAAACCCACCTTCTCTTTCTTTCTTCCTTACATAACATTGCTAGGGTTTTCTCCTCCAGAATCTTTGATTGCAGTTTGATGATTCTTATTTCATCTGGGTAATTGTTTTTTAAGATGAAAGAAATCCTTTCTTATTCTATTTTTTGATCATCTGATGAGTGACCCTTTTTCGTTTTGGAGGATGCAGATTACACTACACTTGATCAAAGCTGTTTGATTGATGGCTGAGACAAAATGTTACATCCCCAATCAATTGTTAGGTTGGTTCTTTCTCTTTTCTTTATACAAGTGCTCTTGGTCTGTGAATTGATGGCGACGGCTTTGTTGTTATATTGATTTAAAGAAAAGAAACAAGACGATTAATCAGTGCAGGTTTCCCCCTTTCTTTTTGTCTTTCGCTCAAAATCAACGAGTCTTGGCAGGAAAGGGTTAGGGCATCATTATAGAATAACTAGAAACCCGTATATCTGCTTTCTATGTTTAATGTTTTTGTTTCTTCAAGAAAGGCAACATCAAAAAGATTCTTTAAATGAGTGTGAAACCAATCAGGGGTAGGCCGAAACTAAACCAATAACAATGTAGAAAATTATTGATTACAAAAATTTATTCCAAGTTGTACACATGTGTTTGCTATAATGTTAAACATGAAAATCTGGCAGACCTAGATCAAATACAGCAAGAAGCACAGCACCGTTGGCTACGGCCTGCCGAAATCTGTGAAATTCTAACCAACTATCACAAGTTTCAACTCAGAACTAGTCCTCCTGCCAACCCACCAGGTATCACCTATGCTACTTGCAGTTGCTTCAACAAATAACACACACACACACATACATACACACACACATACATACATACATACATACATACATACATACATACGTACATATATATACATACATATGTGTGTGTGTGTGTGTGTGTGTGTATATATATATATATAAACCCCATTTGTGGTGAACTTGTTTTTGCTAGTTCTTTTACTGTTGTTGTCCAAAAGATTTCACCACTAGCATCATCATTTGACACATTTAATGACTACTAAACATTGTGACTTTTATTTGATGATAGCTGGTTCTTTATTTCTGTTTGATCGGAAAGTACTTCGATATTTCCGTAAGGATGGTCATCGTTGGAGGAAGAAGAAGGATGGGAAGATTGTGAAAGAAGCTCATGAAAAGTTAAAGGTGTGTCATTTGTTCAAGTTCCTCTTAAGTTCAACTAATACTCTGACATGTAGTTATTTTCAGCTAGAATGTGTATAAATTGATTCAGTTTTGTATTCGAGCTACTAATGAATTATGCTTCGACATATATTCATGTTTATGTGTATTGCCACAAATACAATGACATTCTTGAGGAGGAATTTTATAAACAAATTCAAGTTATTTGATGCTGTTGTTGACTTCATGCTCCTCCTAATAACGTGGTTAAACCTTTCGGTCTGCAATTCTTTGAACTATATTTATAATAAGCTCAGGCGTAGTAATTGCAGAAACTCTTGCTTACACTAAGCTGTTAATTTACTTTGCTAGGAAGGCTCCCACCATGGCATGTATGCACAGTGACACGTCACAGTAACTGCAAAAGTTATTCAATACCATGAAACATAATTCTACCAAGATTTAGTCATCAAATATAAACTATTTGATATTAAATACCACTAGAAAGAAATTCGATATTCAACAAGAATAATCAGCCACATAGATCATAATGTATCATCAAAGTTGTAACAGAAAAACCAAGCTAATAGCTAAGCATAAGACCGTTTGAAAGAAACTTGTTCACCTTCACTTACATCTTCACCAAGTCAAAAAGTATCTGGGTTAAAATTGGAACACGTCATAAGAATGTTATGGTGATGTACATTGATCATGATTTTGCCAAGAATTATAAGGCGACTATCATTACGATTTAGCTCAAGGCAAGAGTAAGCATGCCACTTTGCCAGTGCCAGGACAATAACTTGAAATCAAATATACTTTTGTGAGGAAAAATCAAAATTTCTTTATCCAAATTGTAGTGGCCAGTAGAAATAGGCGCCAACAATTACATGTGATATGATCTTGTATGACTCTTGATAAAAAAAATACTTGTTTTGAAGATTAGTATAGTTGAAATGGTGTTGCTATATTGATATTGGTGTTGAGTGCATTTTATAGGCAGGCAGTGTGGACGTTCTGCACTGTTACTATGCCCATGGAGAGGATAACGACAAGTTTCAGCGACGAAGCTATTGGATGCTCGATAAGTGAGTCTTCTTGTTTCTCAAACCTTGATTTCTTTTGGTTGGTTTTGGCCTTTTGGGCAGTTGATTCATCTCCAATTAATGTGATAGGCGGTTTGAGAATATTGTTCTTGTGCATTACAGGGAGGTTAAAGAGGTAGTGTTTCAAAAACCTTACTCAAATCATTTTTTCGGTTCTTTTCTTGGTATCTGGGGCTGAAATCTCATCTTTTATTCATCATATACAGGGGTACAAGTCAGGTTCCCCTCATGTGCTAAATGCAGATTCGGGATCCCTGCTTCAAAGTTCTGAAAGCAGTCTGTCACCTGGCTGCTGTCATGCTTCAGTTGATAGGAATGAACAGTCGGCATCTTCGAGACTAAATGATGGGCAATCTTTCAAAGATGTTGGGATTTCTTCCCTTGACCAACCAAACAGGAGCACTTTTCATGCAGGTGACTTAGTCGACTTATTATATCAACATTCTGTCCTTTGGATTTCACTGTCACTTACTTTTTCAGGGTATCTAGATAGGGAGCCTTTTCATCCTGTCCCTGATTCATCTACATGGACCAATTTCAATGGATCTGCCAGGGATACAATTACAGCTGATGTACTATCTTATAAGCTAACAGAGGCTCGGTTAGATGTCGGCAGCCATTCTCATGATTTCTTGAATGGCTTGTTTCCTGATCCTCTACAGGTTTGTTTCTTGCCCGGATCTACGTTATTTTCTTGGTTATGTTTTAATGCCAGTTTGAATGCAGGTTCATGCAGGTTTTGAAGCAATAGACACGTCTGCTGTCAACTGTAGCATACAAAATGACGATGCTGGAGGCCTGAAGAAGCTAGACAGCTTTGGAAGATGGATGGATAAAGAAATGGGTGGAGATTGCGAGGACTCCCTACTGGCAGCTAACTCTGGAAATTATTGGAATGCACTTGAAACGGAAAACGATAGAGACCAAGCATCAAGTTTAACACATCATATGCAGTTGAATACGGATTCGGTTGGTCCCTCTCTTGCCAAAGAACAGCAATTTAGTATATTGGACTTTGCACCAGATTGGGCTTATTCAGGAACGGAAACAAAGGTAATGTTTATGCTCTAATTTAACATTACTATTTTGTGGGTCCTATTTATATTGTGTAAAAGGAGAAACTAAGATTTTATTATCGGTCTTGTTTATCACTGAATAGTTTGATATGATATGATATGAAGATGAGAAATACTTGTTCAGGTTCTAATTGCAGGCACTTTCGTGGGTGACAAGAAACGTTGGAGTGAAATTAAATGGTGTTGTATGTTTGGTGAAATTGAAGTGCCAGCTGAACTTGTGACAGAGAACACCATTCGATGTCAAGTTCCTTTCCATGCTGCCCAGCGCGTTCCATTCTACATCACCTGCGGCAATAGATTAGCTTGTAGTGAGGTGCGTGAGTTTGAGTATGTTGAAAAGCCAGCAGAACACCCTGTTGACGAAGATGAACTTGTTCTAATGATTAGACTTTCAAAGTTGCTATCTTCTTTGGGGATTCAGAGGAAATGGTTAGGCTGCTCGATGATGAACTGTGAAAAATGCAAGTTGAAGGATGTCATTTGTTCTCTTGTACGAGACAAAGAACGGAGTTGGAAAAGAATCACAGAGGCGTTTAAAGGGAACTCTGAGGAGTTGCTAATACAGAATTTGCTGAAAGATAAACTTTATGAGCAGCTACTTCCTGAAGCCCATGAAACGTGCCAAGGACTGCGTATGTTAGATGAAAAAGGCCAAGGTGTTATTCATTTGGTGTCGGCTCTTGGTTATGAGTGGGCAGTTGGTCCGATTGTTGCTGCTGGTGTCAGTTCCAACTTCAGAGATGCACGAGGACGGACCGCCCTCCACTGGGCATCACTTTATGGCAGGTTAGATTAGAACACATTTTGGCAAAAGAAAATTAGCATCATTTACTTGCATCTTTGCTTATTCAAGTTTTTTTTTTCATTATTATTTATACAGAGAGGAAACAGTAGTTGCACTTGTTAAATTGGGTGCATTTGCGGGTGCTGTTGATGATCCAACAGGTTTGAATCCTGGTGGACAAACAGCTGCTGATCTGGCATCAAGTAAAGGTCACAAGGGGATTGCTGGATATTTGGCAGAAGAGGATCTTACAAGTCACCTTTCAGCATTGTCTGTGAATGGTGGCAACAGTGCAGTGGCGAATGGAGACAAGGAACATTCCTTAAGAGGGTCAGTTGCAGCCGTGAGAAGATCAGTACATGCGGCTGCACTTATTCAAGATGCTTTCAGGGCTCGTTCTTTTCGTCAGAGACAAGTTAGCAGAAACATGAACGAGGAGCTTGTGGCCCTTGCTACGGCTGCTGCTGCTTCTTCTTCACATAAGGTCCAGAAAAGGGGTGAGTATGAAGATTATCTTCAGGTTGCTGCTGCATCAAGGATCCAGCAAAAATACCGGGGGTGGAAAGGAAGGAACGACTTCTTAAAGATTCGTGAGCGCATTGTGAAAATTCAGGCGCATTTCCGGGGACATCAAGTTCGTAAGCATTATAAGAAGGTGGTGTGGTCGGTGGGGATTGTGGAGAAAGCAATACTGCGTTGGAGGAGAAAGAGTCGGGGGCTGCGAGGGTTCAGGGTGGGGAAGGAAGAAGCAGCAGGAGAGTATGATTTTCTAAGAATAGGTCGGAGACAGAAATACGTGGGGGTGGAGAAGGCATTGGCGAGGGTGCAGTCGATGGCTCGTCATCCTGAAGCCCAGGAGCAGTACATGAGGCTGGTGGAAAAGGTAATTTATGGGTGTTTGTCTTTGTCTTTTGTCGTGTTCGGTGTATATTATATTAACATATCATTTGTTATGATTGACAGATGAAGAGACATGAAGAAGATAGATAAAGAGTAAACACTAGAAGTAGTAATAGAAGGATTTGGACCATGGAAATGCTTCTTGTAAAAAGCTTTCACGTTTAACATTACAAGAGAGCAAAAGCAGTAGCAATAGCAATGGTGGTAATTAGTCTCAGAAATGGAACCACTAATCGTTTTCCATCCCCTCCTCTGCCCCCCGCATCTGTTGTACCTGCACCTGCAATCCCATACAAACAAACAAACAAACAAACAAACTGAGCTTAAAAGATCATCTCAAGTTTTCAGGAGATTGAATACAAGTAGCAAAAGATGCCTCCACTTAGGATTTATTTAAAAATATTTTTTTTATCATTATATAGAAACTTTAAATCATTAAAATTTTTGTCTCTCTCTCTTTAAAATAACATTCACTGTCGACAATTATTTTTCAAAACTTGGGGATCGTCAACAACAAAATCTTTGAAAATTATGCATCAAAGAGAAACCAACCACATTCTCTTGTGGAGTTGAGGGTGGGGGAGCAAATGCAGAGCAGTCCTTGGGTCTCAACATCAAACCCACAAGTCCCACCGGATCTCCGACACCCATCACACCCTGTATCCGCCAAACCATAGGACAGCTTTATACCATACGACCAATCCAAGGGCTTGTTCAGCTTATCGGCATCATAGAAGCTGGTATAATGTGTGCAATCCAGTATGTTGATGCTCATAAACTTGAGGGTGGTGTAAGATGTAAAACAGCAGGGAGGAGTGTTGTTGGAGAGCATCTGAAAGATCTTGAAGGAGGTGCATGAAGCGTACAAGTCATCACAGGAGTGGTAGTTGTCGAAGCAGAGGGATTTGTAGTGGTTGAGAATGGGAGAGTCGAGGGAGCAGTTGAGGAGAGCAAAGATGGTATCAGGAGAAGGAGGGATGATAGCAAATTGGAGGTCGGACATGAGAAAGTCATGATGGGGTTGGAGGATGGTGCAGGTGGACATGGAGGGGTCATAGATGGTAAGGCTTTTGGAGGCATAATCGATGGTCTCTACCTTGTAGGAGCCAGAGGGAGTCTGGAAAAAGAGATCAGTGGCAGTGGCAGTGGCAGTGGCAGTGGATGTAGATGTAGATGTGTTGGATGTGGATGCAAAGGTGGTGGAGCAATTAAACATGTTCCGGTAGAGAGGTGAACCACAGCCGTCATCAATGGCGAAAGGATAGTCAATGTGGATACGACCACATGAATTGCGACAAAGGGGAAGAGACACAGGGAAACAGCCCAAGGGGAAAAGTAAAAGAAAAGGCAGCAGCAGCAATGGATACATGATGGAAATGGGGGTTTTGTATTTCTTTCCTTCTTTCTTCTTTCTTCTTTCTTTCGGTGGGATATATAATATATATATATACAAAACAAAACAAAAAGAAGCAAGGATCCATCCATCTATTCTCCGCAAATTACTCTTGCTGCAGCTTTTTTGTAATTTTATTTTTACAAAATTAAATGGAAATTAAATTTATTCCTATTAATAAATCATTTAAGAAGAAAGAGAGATGGATCTTTGTTTGTGTATGGTTATATGATTACAGAAAACAACCTCCAAATGAAATGAAACGTATGCATTTCCTACTAACAACTTCCATATTCAGTGAGGAGGTCTTGGATTGGATTGTTGGCTCTCAGAAATATGAATGTTACGATATATATGCATAGAGGAGAGAGGCATATAACAAACCAAACCTAGCTATATAAATGGAGTTGTTGTCATTTTAACGACACAAACATTTACTAAACAACGGAAACAAACATCTCATCTCACTCTTGAAAAATATTCTTCTCTTTTCTTTTACGTAACAATTACAAACATCATTTCAATCACTCAACTAACAGTAGCCGTAGTTGCAATAAACATGTTCAGTCCCGTTTAACCCTATGATGTAGACCCCATGATCTGATACAAAGACATTCAATCCACATTTCTTATACACTTTCATTTGTTTAAATCTTTCAACTCTTCATCAATGTGAGACAACTAAAACTCAACTACAATTAATCATTTAATAATATTCAATTCTCGTGGTGCCACCGCAATGCCTCTAGGTTTTCCTTTTATGTATATAAAGATAAAGATATGAAGATGGTTGGTTTTGATTTCAACCATGGTTATAGGTTTCAAAGCATTTATAAATCTATTTCAAATCTTTTCAATAATGTGAGATGATAAAAATCAACTTTAGTCAAGATTTGAGGAAGACACAAACCTCATGATGCAAAGTCTATCATCCTTGGTTTTACTTTTGGTTTTGTACTATGATTTTTACCATTTGGTTGGTTTTGATTACAACCATGATTATAGATTTCAAATTGGGTCATCCAAAATAAGACAACCATATAAGGAAAACTCCATGATTGACCCAAATGCACCGTCCTTTTTATACGCTTCACTTTATTCAAATCTTTTAACTCTTTATCAATGTGGGACAACTAAAACTCAACAACAATTCACCATTTGAGAATACTCAATTCTTATGTACCACCTTATATCCCAAGGTTTTACTTATATATATATATATATATATATATATATATATATATATATATTTGTGTGAAGATAAAGATTACTATATAGATTAGATATAAAATAAAATAAAAATAAGTAAATGCTCAATTATACGTTACACATTGTTTTTGCTATTATTGGTTTTTTAGTAATAACTTTTTCCATCCATATGAAATTGTACAACCTAATTTAGCTATTTCCGCATATGGTTTTAGATATTAGGCCATATGTGTTAACTCTCATATGAAGTTCCACAACTTCAATAATGCAATAAGTCCTTTCCCCTTTGATTATGGTTGTTACATTTTCATCAAAGTATTTTAAGCAATGGCTCTTTATGGATCCATTTCTTGAACCGCTATGAATATTTTGATGATTAAATAGATCCAAAAATAAAACTCTAAATATGGTATGCTTCGCATGCCATGATCTGCATAGATCATTAACCATGTTTGAACGTAACCCTAACCCTAACCCTAACCATAATTATGAATTGTTAAATTGCTAATTTGATGTCATAAGTCTAGGGGTGTTCATTGGTTGAAATCTAATGGATGTATATATTTTGATCTAATACTCAACTAATTAATTCACCATTTCAACCAATTATTCATATATTTTCTTAAGTTATTAGAAAACAATGTATATAGATATCAACTAAAAAACAATAATCTAAAATAATAATAATAATCATATATAGTTATTAATTGTATATTAGTTGGATGATAATTTGATTGGATCGGTTCGATTTTATTGGATGTTGGACTGTCATCAAAAACCGAGTGATCCGACTTGGATGATGAAATTTTGGATCGGACCCAATCCAGTTATAATTGGATGTCCGATTATGGTCGATCGGTTTAATTTGGATCGGATGACTTTCTGTAAACCTTAGTCATAACATGCAATTTAAAGATTACAAAAGAAAAACTCAAATACGACTCAAAAAACAATCAACATTTCTATTAAACAGTTCACCGAACTGCTTATATGAATAGATGTAGTAAACCAAAAACACCACCATTTGGGTTAATATCTTCAACATCACGAGGATAATAAGAAATCCAAATACTAACTACATTTCTATCTAGCGTGTCATCAAACACTTTGTATACATTCACTTACAAAGAGTATTGTTGTATTGAATTCAAATCTCTGGTCCAAAATTACATACCAAATGTAGAGATTGTACTAAACCATGCTTAATGTAGGTCAAGAAACATAAAGTATTTCTAAAAATCCAATCTTAACGATGGATGGTTGTATCTCATTAGGTCTGACTTGAACATAGCCCCAATGCTCTGAACCATTTTGAGTGCCATCAGCAACAATCATTACCGATCCTCCATGAAAGAACATAGCATATCGTTGAAATCAAGAGTAGAGCTACAAAATGATGTTTCCTCATTTTGTAGCAAGGATGGAATCAACAACAAAATGGGGATTCCCTTATTGGACGAAACCTATTTATTGAAGGCAATATGACCAAACAGTAGGGGATGATGGACGATGTAGAGAAAGGGGTCAATCTTTATCCCTCATAACATGTTATCTTTCATCATCCATCTCTCCACATAACTTTTTTTCTCCAGATCCTCAAAATCTTGAAAGATTGAACCCACAACTTTCTTCAAATCCTTGAAATATTTAAACCCACGACTTTGTTGATACATAGGTGATCTTTCTTCACCAAGCTGCATGTGCAACAGAGAGTAACGACAGAGTAATGATCATAATTGACGAAACTTTATATCAAAAAAGAAAGTACCCTCATAAACCTACTTGGCCAAGCATCTGCCCATAAAAAGCTATTAGTTATAACACAATCGAAGCAAATAAACGAACCGTCTATGAGGCTGGTCAAGCAATAGTGATGGGACGACAATGAAAACCAGGTTAAATTTTAGTCAAATAGATGTTTGACAATTTAATATTTGTTCTTTTAAGGGGTTGCTTGTTTACCTCTTAATAATTCCATTAAGAGGCAATATCTGAACCGTTAAGAGGTGAATTTTGTTTGGCAAAAAAAAAAATTTGTATCTTAATGGTTTTAAAATCTTCTGAATGATTTTGTATCATGGATTTCCCTTAACCATTAAAAGCCCTAATTTCATTATACACAATTATCAAACAATTATATTTCATTTTGCATTATATTATGAGACCCTCTTAATTATTCTGTACCAAATCATTAAACAATTACCAAACAGTTTACCCTTTAAATCGAAAACCTAACAATTTTTTTTTTATTTATAGTAAGAGCACTTATTTGTTATTCTCATAGAGAAGTTAATTTGGTTTTTAGATTATTTTTGTATATATAGGGGGTGTTTGGGAAAGCTTTTTAAAGTGACTTATTGACTTATTTCAGTTTGGTATCGGAGATAAGTCATTTCGGAGTGTTTGGGTAAAAAAAAAAAAGTGCTTATACCGGTACCAAACCGGTAATAAGTCGTTTTTTATAAGTTAATCCATACTGACTTATGAAAATTGACTTATTACCATTTTAACCCTGTCTAATAAACACCCCCAAATCGATCTCTGTCTTCTCCAAATCGATCAGATCTCTTCTCATCGATCTCTTCTCCAACAAATCACGTTTTCTCCAACAATCGATCATCTCCAGGTTACAAGTTTCTCCAAAATCGATCTCTTCTCATCGATCTTCTCCAGGTACGTCTTCTCCAAATCGATCTCTTATCGATCTGTTCTCCGATCATCATCTCCTCTTCTCCAATCGATACCCTAACCCTAGAGATCGATAACCCTATACGATGAACAAATCGATACTAACCCTAGAGATCGATAACCTACATCTGTATCACTAACCCTAGAGATCGATAACCTACAGGTGCATCTCTTGCTCCTCACCATACAATCGCTCTCCCGCCTGCATACATTMTCCGACATCGGTTCTCTGCGACGTGACGTAACGCCATAGATTTCACCATCTTCAGGTAATTTGACTTTCTACCTGTGGATATAGATATAGATTTATTTATAGTTGAAGATTATCAGTTTTGGGGATAAAATTTCGCATGGTATTTGATTCTAGCATATTTCATGATAGGACTTAGATGAAACAATGTAACCCATTATCTATCTTACTTGTAGAAAATGCAAAACGATGAATGCAATCATGTCTCTCCAAATGCATGGGCATCCGATGCGATGCTTAGCCACACAGTAGACAGTTGCACAGAAGTTCCTCAACATCTTACTGGTTGGCCCACAACACACTTTTGATGACCAAACTCCAACTTAATTCAGAAGAACACCGAGGCCCTCTTCAATTAATAGACAACAATTTTGAATAATTGGACTAATGGAGTAGTGGACCCACTTACCTTTCTATGATCATTTGGATGAATTCTATTTGCTGCAACTGGATCAAGATCCTTCAGACTATCATAACTACACATTACACTAAATCAAAGATTGAAAGTCTATAAGCTTAAGATAAGATGAAGTGTTCGAAAGCTATCTTAACCATAAAATCTCTTCATCTCCAAGATAAATGGTCTGATGCTTATGGATGTATTACCTCCATCTCATTTGAATAAGTATTATTAGCAATAAATTATTGGAAGAGGAATAACACTAAAGAAATGTGGCTTGTTTCTTTATTAGTCTGTGCCTAACCTATTACCAAGTTGATTTCAGGCCATGATTTATTTCCCTTCTGCACGTCGTGTTCAAGCATTCATTTCCGCTCTTTTCTTCATCATTCTTCCTCCCTCGGTTCACATTTCAGCAGAGTGAGGCTCCAAACAAATTTGTATTACTATAAATAATTCTTTGCCATGACCCATTTTATCCCCCCCAAGGCCCAAGTTCTCAATTTATACTTACATCCTATGGGAGCTATACCGATAATTCATGTCATAACCTAAGCAAGGTATGCACTTCAAATCAGATATAGAAACAATAACATTTACTCATTATTAGATTGGGGTGTTGAACCTAGATCAGTAAATTGGGGTGTTGAACCTAAATTAATCGTTCATATCCTTCCCTTAGTTGAAAAAGAATAACGGTAATAGGCTGTCAAGTAGGCTGCCAAGTTTTGTATAGCACGTCATTGAATGAGGGCTGTAGGAAATATCCCATAACAAGATCATCCAAAAACTCCCCCATCCCTAAAAACTCATTTATACAACAATACGAAAACTGAATGCATTGGTGGTCTTTTTATTAACTTTGTTATTCAGGTAATGGATGCGAACAATGCTCCCGTTGTTGCTAGTGATACATTTAAAAAGAATAAGGCAAAACTTGTTTGGGATCATACAACCTTTATGGTGTTCATTGATTTATGCATGAATGAGGTTAAACTTGGGAATAGACCTACTAGTCACTTCAATAAGGTTGGGTGGGGAAACATAGAGAAGAAGATTAAGGAACGAACAGGAAAATCTTTTGACAAGAAGCAACTTAAAAACAAATGGGACACTATGAAGAAAGAATGGAAGTTGTATGATCGTTTAATGAGGATTGAATCTGGCATTGGATGGGATCCCGAGAGAAAGACAATTGTTGCATCACCAGAGTGGTGGGACGAAAAAATAAAGGTACTACTTACTAATATATATATATTCTTTTGTTTGCTATTACTTTTTTATAAGTTCCTAGTGAAATTTGCTAATAAGAGCTATTAACACACAGGGAGATAAAGATCTTGCCAAGTTTAGGGACTTAAATTTGGAGATTTATCAAATGTATTATGAGCCTTTGTTCCGGGATTCCGTTGCCGTTGRAGATAAGACTAAGGCTCCCTTTGAATGTCAAAACAATAGCGGTCCAACTAATGTTGAAGATGAAGAAGATCATGAGGGAAAAGGAGATAGTGATGAAGTGAATTTAGGCGACGATGATAGACTTCTTTTTCCGCAAAGTAGTTCGAGTAAGAGGAAGAAGCCGAATAATGTCGCACCTACCCGTTCAACCAAGGGAAAATCTTCTGTAAGTTCCTCATTTGAGGATAAACTAGATACTGTATTGGAGGCACTATCATCACGAAGCACACAAAGTTTTTCATCACAGAATAATTACTCACCAACGACACAAGAATGCATGGACATTGTGACATGTTTTCCAGGATTTGAAGAAGGTTCAAAGATGTATAGCCAAGCATTACACATCTTCCTAAAAAAGCAAGTCCGTGAAAATTTTATGGTTCCAAAGACACAC